AAAGGAAAGGGATGCCCCCTTTGCTCTGCTCCTTGCCAGCGTGTGGCTCCTTACAGATTTGCATCAAGGGAATGTGCTCCTTGACAGAAAAAAGCTTGCGTACCTCAGGATTTCTGGGTCCTTTTGCTGGCTGAGAAAGAGCTGGCAGCCAGCACTAGGGTAAAAGCAAAAACAGTGGGTAAAGATAGGATGCTGGGAGTTTAACTGTTAGTCTCACTGTCCTACCTTCCGCCCCACCTCTGCTGTAACTTCTTAGTTTCAGCTCTTCCAAAACTAGAAACTGGATCTAGCTGTGCTTTCTCTAAACTATAAGACACCTTTGCTCTCTTAAATCCAGAGGCCTGGTTGTCCTCCCACTAACCCTCAACAAGCGTCCTTTTCAAAGTTAGAGGCAGGACACAGCTCCTTGCAGCAAACTGAAGGCATATATACATTCAGCAGGGTCATGTGGTAAAGCTTTTCCTGGACTGTGCCACTGTGCCACATGGGGCCGAGGACAGGGGAATCACATAATCTGAATTCTCTCTTAGCTTAGGTGGAAACAAGGTAAGAACAAACCTTGCAGCAGGTCAGAGAAAATGGTTCAATGTGCCGTTTCCTGACTTATGCTTTTCTGTTTGCAGGGAGAGGGAGCGTTCTAACATACCACATATGTACATATTCTTCCACCTGAAAAGTTTTGCAATCTGATTCTGCTAAATGTATAACTTGGCCATCGTTAAATCCCACCTTGGCTTCCAGCCTAGTTTCTTCTTTGATTCACTTGCCGTATTCAACGGACTTTTTCCAGTCTTGAGAAAACAATCCAGGAGTCAGGTTACATTTGCTGTAATAATGGTTCCTAGCAAACTAGTAATTTTGAGCTAGGATTTGGTCCCAAGACCTGCTTTCAGTTCCATAGTTAGCAGAATATCTGAAACAATAGAGAAGAATGCTTCTGAGTGTATGTAGAGTGCCTTTCGGTTTAACTGGTTTCACTACAATGCATCCCCTAAACGTGGGATTATGGATAAGGGACTCTCAGATCAGATAAGCTCTAGCAACTCTTCCTTTAACAATTAAGCACTTTCTCCCATTCACTAGGCATTGCTGCTCTTCCTAAAATTAGGAATAGAATCCTGGACTTCAGTCACACAGACGCCTGCCTTGCTCACTTGCATAGCTGTACGCCTCTGTGTCTCTCCTGCTGTTGGCTTTGGGCCACACCAGACTGTGTGTGTGTGTGTGTGTGTGTGTTGTGAGGGGGAGGGATCACCCTAGTGAAGCCTTGTGTTTGGCGTTGTCAGGGTGGGGATGTCATGGGCCATAAGTTGGTGCAGAGTCCTCAGGGTGCATTCCCCAGCTGTGAGCCTCTTCCTGCGCAGAGGCCCCACTCAACGAAACCCCTTTCATGTCTAATCTCCTGGCATGCGCCAGCCCTTTTGTTTGCCGGGCCACATCCTGGCTCTTTTCCCTCCGAGTTTTGTGTGTGCGCGCGTGTGTGCGCATGTAGTTTTTTGTTGAAGAAGGGGGAGCTAATCAAACCCATCCTTGGGGGACTGGCCTGGAGGCCTTTCCCATTTGAAGGCCCGTTCACCCTGAGCGGGGCCAGGCCTTTAATATCCTGTCTGACTGGTTTACTCCGGACTCTGGCTTGAAGAAAAACATCGGCAGACATCCTACAGGAAAGGGGCCGTGGGTGTGTAGCCAGGCGCCTTAACCTTTTCATGCCTGGGGGAGCGGAAAACACATCACACATGTGCAGGCTGCGTAGTTTTCTTGCTACTGCCCATGTTTTGTTGCAGCGTACTCAAGTCTAAACGAACTTCCAAATTCACTCAGTGCGGTTTCTCGTTTTGTGCTTTATTTGCAAGCCATGGGAATCCAGACCACTTTTTGAAAACTGTAACGAAACCCCAAGCATCTTGGTGCTCAGCCTTCTCCCTGCTCCAGTTCCTCATAGCATGGATCCTTCACCAAGCTGGAAAAATAAGGCGAGGCCTCTAAATTTGTCACCACACCCCACAATCAAGAACTACATCTCAAGATCAGGAGTTGTGGGAACCAAATATTTCGACACAGGTCAGGTCAGAGAGGAGGGTAAATCAATAAATTGGTGTGTATGTGAATGCATGCACATTTTCATGGGCCTGGTGACAGCTTAGAAGTTTGAAGGGTAGCCTGAACCCAAATCTCTGTTGGGTATGATTTTCTTTAAAAGATTGCTAATTGCTCCATTTTGTGGTACACAAGTTGAAGGCAGGCATTTAAGTGCATGCAGTTAGGTTAGGTTAGGTTAAAGTTTCATTAGTATTATTTTTATTATTAGATTTATATCTTCTTGGTCAAAAAGTCCTCAAAAGCATTACGCACAAAAGTTAAATGACATCATAAAACAATTCAAATTACAAAATAAATTGGATTTTTAAAAAGAGTTATATATTCTGTAAACATACTTTTTAAAAAAGCACTAATGTGCAAAATTTTAGGGATCTGGAACCGTAAAACTGAGTTGTCATAAAATGCCTAGTGGAAAAGAGTGTAGGAAGGAAGGACGGACGGACGGAAGGGACTAAGTGTGCTTCCATAGAGAGAGAGGAAAGGAGGGAGGAGTTCCAAAGGAGGGGGCTTCTTTCAAGTTGCCTGACCACAGACTATGGCAGGAGACCAAGGAGAGCCCCTTCCAAAGATCTTACCAAGCTGGCAGTGTCATATGGAAGCCAGCAGTCCTATAGATGCCCTGGATCCAAGCTGCTCGCAACTTGAAAGGTCAAAAACAGCACTTTGAATTGTGCTTGAAAACAAACTGGGATCCAGTGCAATTCCAAGACTTAAGTGTCAGGTACTCCAAGTAATAAACTCCCTGCACTACCCAAGCGGTGGCAGCAGCAGCATTTTCCAAATGTACCTTAATGGCAGGTGTCATTGCTGAAGTCTTACCTGGATATGACCAAGGCTTATGTGACAGTGGCCTGCCTTCTTCAGGATGGGCCACAATTTGCTTGTCTGTGATACTGCAGTAGCTCAGAGAGCTACAGAGGACTCTCTCTTTCTGTGTCCTCACAACATCCCTATGAGGTATATTAAGTGGTGTGTGTGTTGCCGGGGTGTGGGGGTCTGGTTCAAGCTCCAGTGAACTTCATTGATGAATGTAGATTCAAACCCTGGTCCTAGTCCGATTCTGTAACTGCTACACCACTGTAACTAGTTATAAGTATTCCTCACCATGGCTGCCACTTGAGCATATAGGAATATGCCTTTATGCTCACAAGCTGTTGAATCAGTGAAATTAATCTCAACCTGAATTCCTGTGTGAACTGGATTAAATCTGCTCCTTCCTCCTCGGAATCTTAGCTTTCCATCTCATTCTTCGTAACACTGTAAGACCCCACTTTTTCCTCTTAAGGTGGAGATAGTATTAAGTCTTCCAGGTTCTTAGCCACACTGTGTTTTAACCAGCCTTCTGTGTCTGAAGAAAAGAATCTTAAATTCCTAGCCCTTCACAGCATAAAAGTGCTTTTTTAACCTTCTTTCCTTCTGCTTGCTGCATTTCTGTCCCATATGTAACATATTCTCAAAGTCTCCTTTCTCACAGCTTTACTGTTTTTCCCTTCCACCTCCCTTTATGGATGGTGTCCTAACTCTCTTACATCACACTGAAAATTGCATGCTTGTAATGGAATTACTATGGAGTAATTCTTGTGATGGAATTACCACAGAGACATTAACAGTCCTTTTGATCTAGAAACCCTGGGCCTTTTCGTTTATCCCATTGTTGATGGGAAAAATACACTCTGTTCAAGTTCAGGGGCACTTCCTTTTTAATGACTAATCTGTGTTTCTGGCATTTCAATGATTTTTTTTAAACCTCGGGCTTGGGTAGTTTTATTTTCTTCATACCCAAAAGCAAACCCCTTCTTCAGAGCGGGAATACTGCACTGTCAGTAACGGCTGTGTGGCCTGTTTTTTCCCTCCTTCCATTCCATCTTCTTTCAGCTGAGCTGCAGCGCCAGCATGTCATGCTCCTGGGATTGGTTGTGTCTGGCTCAATCCCACATCTTATTTCTGTGGCCTGAAAATGTCAAATCGCATCTTGCCATCTCACCCTTGCAGAGAGCATGCTGGAGGCGGCTTCCAAAGCTTTGAGGCCTTCAGGCTCACTGATTTAGGATTATTCTTCCTTCCTGGGCTGTTGTGTTCCCCTCTTCTCAGCATTTCTTGTAGAGGGTATCTTACGTAAAGGCATTCTATCTGCAGAATCTATCTAACCAAAATATAAGTTGTTGGGGGAGAGACCTCCCCTACCCCCGCCCTTTAGACAGTGCTGGGGCAGCTATTTCTCAATGCTGTTAAAATTTCAGAAGCCAACTGGCATGTGTAGCAAGATTTGCTTTTCATCAGCAGCTTTTCCATCCTCTGCAGGGCACCTCCCCCCAGTTGACTAGTTCATTCCAGGAACCCTAAATTCAATACGACTAATACATTTGAATACAAACCGCAACTGTCTTATAATTTTATCCTTCTTGAGACCTTCTTTCTTAGTGTTCCTCTGCTGAAAATTTAGAGTAGTATTAGTATTAGTTGCTGCTGCTGCTGCTTTTAATAACCTCATATGGTGAAGGAAGCTTGTCTGGTTTACAAAAAGGACAGCTTACCCCCAAGCTCTAATTCCTTCCTTGTTTATGTCTGTTTTGCAAGAGACCAAGGAAACATGGAAGCTATCTCATGGCTAGCCAGCATGTATAAATGGGCCATCACAGATAGGTCTTGGGTTTCTTTTCACAGCACCTCAGTTGTAATGCCTTTTGGTGAAGACAGGTCACACATTTCATTGCTGGCTTAGAGAATCAGGTGGTGTATATGCATATCTGTGCCAGGCCCTGAAATGTCACAATTACATGAATTGGTCCAGTAACTTGCTCACATAAACTCAGACCTTACCATCTCTTCACTTTGTACATTTAGCCTTGAAATTTCACCTTAGATTTACTTTCTTTTTCTCTGTTTCTCTCTTTCTGCAGCTATTGAAACGCAGAGTACCAGCTCAGAAGAGATTGTGCCCAGCCCACCTTCACCACCCCCATTGCCCCGAATCTACAAGCCGTGTTTTGTGTGCCAGGATAAGTCGTCTGGCTATCACTATGGTGTCAGCGCCTGTGAAGGATGCAAGGTGAGAGCGGAATGGCAGCAAACCCATGCTGCAGGAAAGTTGCTGGGGTGCCATTTTTTGGCTGGTGGGACAGATCCAAGTTAGAAAAGAGGCATGATAAATGCACAACTCTGAAAGATGTTCTGTGATGTAGCAGGCACAGCAAAACACAGAACACAGTTTCTCTCCTTATGTTATCAACTGTGTGTGTTTTACTTGAAAGTGGTCCCCTTTTCTCTCCTCTTCCATCTGCTTCTGTTAGGATTCGTATTGCTGCAGTGTCTAATAATCATTTGAAAACCTTCACTTTGGGTTTTGCTTAGGGTTCATATGGAGCTGAAAAGAATTAGGAGGGATGCCAAATTCCTGATGCTTCTACCCCAGCAGGAAATAGTTGTACACTTTGTCCCTCCTCCCCCGACATGGCTCAAGGATGAGGGCTCAAGAGTGTGAATTACTATATACACAAGAATACACCCATTATTTGCATGCAGTTAATTTTTCCTTCTTCCCTCAGACTATGAACTCTTCTGTCTTTAAAACATTTATCTTATTCCTCTCCCCTGCAACTACGCTGTTCTAGCTTATCTGTTTTTTTGCAGATGCCCCCACTTGCACCAGGCTGGCACCATGGCTCTGTGGGTTGGCAGAGAGCATCAGCCTGGGCAAGCAGGCTTGGTCTCCACCAACAAACCCCTTCCCTCTGGCTCATTAGCATGAGGCCTTTTGTGCCTCTGGTTGCCTAGAAGAAAGCCTTTTCTCCTTCCCCTCCAGGAGTCCCTTAATCTCATTAGGGGGACGTGGTGATGTTGTCCTCGCTCCCTGGTGCCATGGAGCAGCAAGGCCCCTGTTGTTGCCACCCCTAAACCAAAGAGTTTCTACTGCCCCGAGCTGCGTCCCTAACCAGTCAGTTGCAATAGCAACCTGTATTTGGTTTAGAAAGCAAGCAAGCAACAAACCATTGATGTGTTGTTTTTTTGAGTTTTGAAAATCAGGTAAAAAAGTATAAAATACTTCTTTGAGGTAGTTTGAGGCCCTGTGAATAATTCTGCACATTAGTGAGAGGCGGGCCTATAATTCCAAACGGAGTGTAGCTGTCCTGATAGTCTGAGTTTGATAATTAAAAAGACATTTCTAGCCCTCATATGCAAAACAAGTTTGCCCTTCATGTTATGCAGTACAAACACAAAAAGGGAATAGCACTATTAAGAAACAGGAAAGAGGGAAACACTCGAGATGCTAGAAAAGAAATGCATTCCAGGCCCTGAATATATTTCTTTCCTGGCTTATCTGGCATCTTCCCTGCTTTTTTGCCTCCACATGATGCTTAAAACTCAGGAGGTATTTATCTGGTCCATGCCTGGATGGGAGACCATTCAAGAGCCTCCATGGTTCCACCTTGAGTTCCATGATGGAAACAAGATAGAATATCAACATACTTAATAAAACTGCACACATACAAAATCTCCTTATTACTAGTTTTCAGTGTGACCCTAAATTCCCAAGGTCTCATGACAGGCAGCTTGCCCAGCTTTTAAAACTTGTTGGCTTGACATATGTAGCATTGCCCAAATCTGCCCAAGAATGCAGGAAACCAGGGGTTTGGTGATGGTAGAAAGACTTTTCTTACAGATGCGAAAGGAGCTAAAAAAAACCCAGACTTGCTTGCACACTGGGCAACAAGCAACTCTCACTATGTATTTAATGAGAGTGGCTTGCAGCACAGCTTGTGTATCTTCAATGTGCAACCACTTTGTATGATGGACTTGTATTACTGCCTGTATATGTGTCTGAGAAAAGAGACATTGGACTGGAACCAGATCTAGTCAAACCTAGACCAAATCCAGAGAAAACAACAGGATTTACTGATTTCTTTACTACAGTTATATCTTACTGTTTTCTTTTTCAAAGAACTCAGAGCAGCTGGCATCATTCTTCTCCTTTTGCTCTTAGTCTTATTCCCACAACAGCGACCCAATGAGGTAGGTTGGGCTGAGAGTCCATGACTGGCCCAGTTGACTCCATGGTGGAGCCAGGACTAGAACCCAGGTTCCCTGAATTCCAGGCTCATGCTCTTAACCACTGCACCACACTGGCTCTTAGTTGGGATTTAAGCTAGTAATGAAATTTCTAAATCCTGTTAGACTAAATCTGGACACAGTTCAATGTCTAAGGGCAGACAGTACAGCTGAGCTAAGGCTTGAACTGAGAACAGCTTGCACTTTTCACCAGTTTGCACTACCTTTACTCTTAGAGAGCACACACATGACAGTGAAGTGGCAGGCCATACATTGCTGTAAAGGAGGGGAGAAAAGATTAACTTGTTCATGCCACTTTATCTCTTTTACACCCTGTAGGGCTTTTTCCGCCGCAGCATTCAGAAGAACATGGTGTATACCTGTCACCGCGACAAGAACTGCATCATCAACAAAGTGACGCGAAACCGATGTCAGTACTGCCGTCTGCAGAAGTGCTTTGAAGTTGGCATGTCCAAGGAGTGTAAGTGAGGGGTGAGGAGGAGGAGAACGATGGGGAAGGGAAGTTTCTGGCCACCAGCATCTTCTAATAGTAATACTTCCAAAATCCCCTATTAGAAACTCCTGAGAGTTAGCTTGAGATGCAATAGATTTGGGAAACCCAGGTCTAAATCTCTGTTGCTCTATGAAGATGTTGTCTCAACTAAGAATCATAAAGGATTTTCAAATAATCAGAGTGCTGCAAAAAGTCCCTTGTAATACAGTCATTAAAAGTTGAGGGCCCCTGTGGTCCTTGAGAGGGTATGAGGGCAAGGGGAATAAGAGCACATTGGAGACTATAATGAAAATGGGCCAGCAACAGATTTACTTGTGCATAGAGTACAAAACAAAAGGCTAAAAGAAGGAATGAAAGAGCCAGTATAGTTCAGCTGCCATGTTAAAATATGCAAATTTCCAGTTCCCATTATTGTGATGGCATGTTTGCAAACAGTTGTGGAGTTTAGCAAACACTTCAGCCTCCCTCAGCCTGATGCTCTTCAGATGGTTGCACAACAATTGGCCAGGAGTGATGAGACTGCATTTGCGCATCTGGAGGGCATCAGCTTGAAGAAAACTGGTCTTTGTCATGCAGGTCTACCTGACCACCTTGTGCTTTCAGGTTGTTCTGCTGATATATTCTTTGCTTCCAGTTAGTTGCCTTTGCTTCCTTTCATCCTACCTCACATCTCTTGTGGAAAAAAGAAATTGCAGCTTCTGCAAAAAAAAAAAAAAAAAAAGTGTCAGAAATGTATAATGTTACTTCTTGTCAGTATTTGGAGATGTTGTCTAACAGATCTCTCCAGTAGATACTTGGAGAAACAGTGCTACAGATAAAAGAGTGTTAACCTATTCCGCCAAAGAAGATACCCTCTCCTACATCCAGAAAGAAAATGCAGTCACCATTGATACATGGGGATTTTTCCAGTTTTCACCCAAAAGAGGTGACGTGTGGGGCTCACCCTCTGCTTTGTTCTAATTTTGAGGGTGTTTCCCCGGCAACCAGTGATTGATGATGTCAGAGATAAATGACGCAGACAGGGCCCTCCTGGCGTCTGCAGTGCTTAGTTGTCATGGCAAAGTGGGGTTCCTTCCCCCACCCCCATTACAGTCGGGAGCCATGACAACTAAGCGTTAGATTAATAAAGCCTTGAGTAGAGAAGCAGCAGATTGATCTAGTGGAAAGGGTGTAGAATCAGTGGTTCATCTGGAACATCTGGAATCCTGCCCTGTTTCCTCCCATGGATGCAAGAAACAGAATGATCAAAGAGAGGCCAGGCAAGCACTATTCTGGCCCAGCCCTGCCCAGTTTCTCTACCCATTTGTGCCTAGAATCCAGGTGTCCTTTTGGAAACCTCTAAGTATAGGATCAGCCCTAGAGATGTTGTGAGGAGAAGTGGATGTTGACTTTGCCACCCGCATGTTAACAAAGAGGGGGTGACACTTGCTGAATCAAAGTATGGGGCCAAGTCACTGCAGAAGCCAGGAATTTTGTGAGAATTATTTGTGGAAACTGGAGAACTAAGGTTGGGTGGAGATAACCATCCTTTTGTGAGGAGTTGGGGCAGGGAGTGCTCAGGCCAAACAAGAATCCGTGTGTGGCATGCCTAGCAAGAGAGAAGTGGAGAAGGTAGCCCACCTTTCTCAAGTCTGCTTTTTAAGATGTACCCCCCCCCCAACAATGCTTTTGAATCCTTCTCTCATCCGCTCTTCTTGGTGTCTTTTTGCTTCTTCTAATGCCAGCTGCTTTTTCTACCCCCCAGCCTCTATGTGATGATGGATGCAGTATCCCCCCCTCCCTAACTGCCTGTCTGGACTGCGCTTTATTGAATTTGCCAAGCAGACATGACTGATTTCCGAATTATCCCCCTCCCCCCCGCCCCTACCTCTCCCTCAGGCAGGGCGGTGAAATGTACCAGCCCACCACAAGCGAAAGGCGCATCTGGCGTTGCCATTGCCTCTTGACGTGTTTTATTTTTTTTAAGGAAGGATTATCTTAAAGATTAAATCCCCCCCATCCAAAAAAATTGAGAAACCTTCTAGTCCCAGAAGCATATAGCCCCCAGGGTACCTTCATTCAGGTTCTGTGCAAATATATACTATAACTGTGCAACCCCCCCAAAAAAACCCCCAAACCCTTACACAAGGCTTTGCGCTGCCTCAATAAATTTCATATGCAGGAAGGCAGTGCCACAAATCTGATACACGCGCCCATGTCTTTTTGCGGCCTATGGGCCTTCATATTGTAATTTGTGTCAGTTCTGTTCTCTGTAGGTTAATTAGACACATTCCAATTAGTTAAGTGGCTGTTGTTTGCATTTCTTTTGTCTGTTTGAAGCCTCCCTCATTGGTAAGATTTCCAGCAAGTGTAAAAAAAAAAAAATAGGAAGGCATGCTTGAAATTGGGTACATAGCACAACAGTGTTGAAACTCTATTCCCTTTGCTAACTTATTCCTATACCAACAAAGAACCCACGTTGAAATGGTTTTGCAACATTTCCCAAAGGCTCAAATGGGAAGGCGTCTTGCAAATTTGAGAGCAGTGCTCTAGGTTGCTCCTGGTGCCCTCGGTTAGTGAATATATGGTCCGCACGAAAGGAGGAAACCCTTGGAGGGAGGAACACACAGGGGAAACAAGAACTAGTAGTTTTAGCCAGAATAGTAACAAACAAGACAGAGGGTATGATGTCAGCATAGGACAGTTCTCTCTGTCCATGATGGGGTAACGCTTCCCCAGGAGGAAGAGATGCGTCATCTCATGTTTTTCTTAGGCTCTCCTTTGATGGATTCTCTGCTGTAACATTTCACGAGGTCAGCCTAGCGAGGTGTTTCTGGCTGCTTCATTATGATGGAGATTTGGCTGCAGCCAACCATGCTTCAGTAACCCCATAGGCACTACTTGGGGTGACCTTTGAAGATTGGTTTCAGAACTGCTGCTAGTGCAGATTGCAGGGGCCCATCTCCTGACCAGGGCAGGCTAGAGGGAACATATCTTTTGGCCACAGAGCAAGTTTAAAGTGTGGCTCCATGGTCTTCCGGATCCAGTTTAAAGTGTGATCCTCCAAAGTCTGTGCATCTATATTTTCAGGAACTGCAGTCCCCCCTCCAAATGCAACTCTGTCACCATCCTTTAGTACTCCAGCTGGGGTTGTAGCCCTGTGTTGCGGTGCCATATCACTGAGATCTGCCTTTTCTGTGGTAGTAGCTCTGGGATACACACCTTGGCGGGACTCACACTGTGGTGCTTTGGCTTGAGATTTCAGCAGCTGGTTAAGCTACATTGTTCAGGCAGGTTTTTACTGATGGTTAATGATTTTATACTGATACCTAGAGGATGATTTTTCAGGCTTTGGCTTTTTACTTGTATCTCTGAATTTCTATCATATTAGCATTGATTTTTAATCTGTTTATCAAGACAGTCTTCATTATTCTTCAGGTGCTGCTTTTGGCATTAGGGAAATGGTATAGCAGTGCTAAAATAAACAAACCTAGATTGGAAATCAAAATAATTCTTAAGTATTCGTGAGAGCAAAGCCCCCTTTAGCTAGTTAAACATATTACACTTATGGCTTCCATTTGGTAACCTCAGCTGCAAAATACTGGGGTCAGGCAGGGATGTAAGATCAGATTATGTTTTCCCAACTTTCCTTAGGGCATGAAAGCTTGCCACACAGAGATTAGATGTATGGGATGATGCATTGGCAAAGTGATGTGGCAAATAAATAGATCCTGCTTGCATTCTAGGTCTAATTGTCATATTTAGGATTGAGAAAGAATTTGACTGGCTACAGATGGAGGGAGGGATCTTTCCCCTGCAACATATAGTTGGACTCACTTGCCAGAGCCTTCCAGAGCTCAGCCTTCACTTACTGTCTGTGATGGGACACTGTGGCCTGGATTAGAAAGGTTGATCTGTCATGGGAGTAGGGTGGAGAGTTCTGCCCTTGGGATAGGGCCAGCGGCATGTTGATTCCCCCCCACACCCCTTCGTGTGCTGCTGGGCACACCCAGAGCCATCTCAGCACTGGTATTTGGTGCTTGGTGTCCACACTATTGGCATAAATCTCCTACCTTATGGGGGCAGGGTGTGCACCTGTTGTGCATTCCCCATTCCTGGTTTCTGGTTCCATGGTTGAAAAACCACATCTGCTATGCAGGCACACTTTTAGCTGGGTTGAATAAGAGCACTGCAAAATGATCCAGTCATTCTCTTCATTTCTGATTCTCTTTGTTTTATAGCTCACGTTGCTTTTCCACGTTTGCTTCCTCAACACAATTTGGGAAAAACATTTCAGTTTTTCTGGGTATTGCCACAGCAGGTCTCGAGGCAAGGAATAGTCTGGGGGCGTTTTTTGCAGCTCAGTCTTCTGTGTTCCCCTTAAAATGCATGTTCTCTTCTCTTCCACATTCTTCCACATAACTTCTTCTGTCCTTTGACCAACATTGAGGCTTTTCCTTCAACCTGCTTTTCTCATTTCCTTCTTTTTCTCAGCTTTTATTTTTGCTGCTCTCCTTTCCCTTAGTCTTTTGCCTCTTCTACCTGCCTTTCTCTAATTTTGGCTTATCAATTGTGTGCCTTGTTTGCCCTCTTTTTTCAACCAGCGTTTGACCACTCTTTTCTTTTGAACTACCTTCCTGGATAGTCAACCTCCTCTGTATTCCAGCAGTTCAATTTGTCAGCCGTCCTGCCTCTGTCCTTGGCTTCTGGGATGCAGCTGCCCAATTCTCAGCCCTGTTGAGGTTTCCCAAGCCAAACTGATTTTTCACATCACTCACAGAAGTAGCATGTGGCAATTCTAGCATCCCAGCAGTTGAAATGTTTGCAGGCAGTCCATTACAGCACATCACCTAAGCCCATAGCAGGAGCACAAGAAAAAAGAGTGGTACACAGAGCATGTTCAGATGTAATCACAAAGTTCAGTGACAGCTCATAGGCTTAAAACCCATGAATCGCAGGGATGTGTGTTGCATGCAAGCCACTTCCACTTTCCAGAAACAGCCTGTGAGTGTCATATATATAGGTTGTTTTCATGATGTCTGAACCTGGGCATTTTGGAGGGCTGGGCGGAGGTGGTTAAACAATGTAAAGTAAATCCAATAATAAATCATATTTATTATTATTATTCATTTCTATACTGCCCAATAGCCAAAGTTCACTGTGCAGTTTACAACAGTTCATAAAAGCAAAATAATATAATACCATAAAATGTTTTCATAATGTACTTTAAGAGAACCAATAAAAATAGCTTAAACAAAATACAATGAAGAGTGGCCCTGTAAAAACACCTGTGGTGGGTAATCCCCTCAGGCCATTGGATGTCCAGCTTTTCTGTCAAAGCTCTGGCTTAAAGGGCCGTCTTAACCTGGCCTCCTAGGAAAGCCCTGGATGTTAGCACAGTGTCCGGGTAGATTGTTCAGTACAGAGAGGCACTCCATCAAGTATTATGATCCCACACTGTGTAAGTATAGATTAAAACCAGCACCTTGAATTGGGCTTGGAAGCATACAGACAGCCACTGCCAGCAGGCCAAAGCTGATCTAAAATGTTCAGCTCTTTGGATCCCCCTTTTGTTAATGTGGCTGCTGCAGATTTGCACAGGTTGAGGCTTCTGAACGGTCTTCAGGGGCAGCCCCACACAGAGTGCATTGCAGTAATCTAATTTAGAGGTTACTAGACTGCAGATTGCTGAAACCAGTTATTCCTATCATGATAGGGGCATAGGTGGGCCATGAACCAAAGCTGGTAGAAGGCACCCCATGCCACTGAGGGGAGCTAAGCCCCAAGTGGCAGCAATGGATCAAGGAGCCCCCTCCTCCAAGTTACAAACCAACTGCTTAACCGGTTGCACACCGTCTAGAACAGGTTGAACACCCTCCATCTGATCAGAGGAACTATGAAATTAACTGCATCTTAGTCTTGTCTGGATTGAGTTTCAGTTTGTTAGCCCTCATCCAGTCCATTGTCACGGCCAGACATGGTTTAGCATTTCCACAGCCTCACCTGCTGATGATGAAAAGGTGAAATAGAGCTGCATGTCATCAGCGTATTGATGGCAGTGCACTCCGAAACCTCCAGTTGACCCCACTCATTGCTTTCATGGGGACAGAATAGACCTCTGGGGAGCTGCACACTCTGAGGAGAATCCACAGGGTTGGGCAGTATTCCTTTGGCACCACTTTCTGGGAGCAACCACTGAATTACAGTGAATGCTGCCATTACATCCAAAGAGGGCCACACTCTGACACACTGCTAAAAGCTGAGAGCCGTGGTTGACCACCATTCTCTGGCCTAGACTGGTGCTGCTCCATCCCTGGACACCTCTGCAGTGAAAGTCTAGGTCATTTGCACAGCTAGTTAGAGAGGAAAATCAGTTCCATCTGAGGCTGGAAATGCAAGGAGGGATGGTAGCCTGCGCTCTTTCCGTCTCTGTGAACTGGGGGTGAATGGGTGAGGGAAACTTGCCACAAGCAGGTAGGCAAGAGGCACTGAGGTGGGTAAGATATAACTCCTTTCCAAAAGGAAAATAATTGGGTGCTTTGTTGTGTTTGCCTCCATTGAAGATACAGAATGCTTTTAAAGTCAGACCTCTGTTCAGTCCCTTTATCTGGCTGCCTATGTATACCCCCCCGGCAACTCTTCGGCACCTGTGCCCCCACTTTTTTAAAGTATCATCAAAAGCGTTATATTCCAAATATCTTAATTAGGTGTAAAACTAATAATTTAAAGTTACTATTACTAAGTAATGTTACATAATGGCAGTGGTCAAGGCAAAAAGCCTTGGGTGGGTTCTTTTCAGGGCTCTTGATTTCTCACTCTCTTGGAAAGCACACCCACTTACGTAGGACTCTCACGCTTGCTTTTCCATCCAGCGGTCCGGAATGATAGAAACAAAAAGAAGAAAGATGCTCCCAAGCAGGAATGTTCTGAGAGCTACATCATTACGCCTGAGGTGGAGGATCTCATCGAGAAAGTGCGCAAGGCCCACCAGGAGACCTTCCCTGCTCTCTGCCAGCTGGGCAAGTACACCACGGTAAGTGGCAGCCAAGACAGCAAAGCGAGGGAGAGGGGAAGGCTGGGTGCGAGAGCAGGCAGGCTACATTGCTGGGATTGCGAGGCAGCCAGCACTGTAATTGGGAGAGATCCACTGATCTGGGGCAAGAGCACGCCTTCCATTAGGAGTACCTTGTGCAAATAAACTCCTCAGATTTGGCTCTGAAATAGAAGCCGCAGGGATAAATTCTATACCATATGGATGTGTTTTGCTAATTGGCGACCATCGCTTATGCTCTGGGGGTTCATCTTATTAAGCTGCCTGATACCTAGCAAGTTGGGATATTCACTAAGCGAGAAACTATGAAGTTCACAAAGTCACATAACACTTTGCATAAGAGGAAAAATTAGAAACAGACAGCCTTATGGTTATTATAAGACTAATAATGTGTTAATCTCTTCATATAAAACTATCCCCCACCCACTAATATCCACTTATGGGCAGAGGAATCGGAATCATTTGAGAAATATCAAAGAACCAAATGTGTTTTGACCATATTTGGTCTTTCTTTGTAGGCTAACAAAGGCTTAATGATTCCAGATCTCATAGAACACATAAAGGGCAATGCCTTTCCACCCAGTTTGCCCAGCATCATCCACAGCCACTAAACTATCAACAGTGTCTGCAAAATAATCAAAAAACGATTAGTACAAATTATTAAATGTCACAAAACTGCAATATTTTCAAAACAAGCCTACCACTTGAAAAGCATTATAATCCTCCAAACAAAGGCATAGGCAAGAAACAGCTGAAAACTTGATCTAGTACAAATCCACATTCCTAGCAGAAAATATGCAGAAGTTCCACAAAAACACATTGTTTCTCTGAAGGGGAGAAAAGCAACTATAATACCCCTAACGCTATCGAGATTTTTAAGGGACACTACCATAGACCCTGGGTGCTTTTGTAGATCATGCATTCCACGCTGGTAATAAGCCAGGGTGGGCCTATTGTTGTGTGAGCTTTGGAGGCTTTTTGCTCCCCGTGGTTTTTCCACAGGGAATATGCGTAAGAATATGCATGTTAAGCAATGGTGGAATTCCATAAGAACACTAGCTGTCAAATGGCTAGAGACAAAATGGTGGTTCTTTCAGGGGGTGGCTTGAACTTTTTCATGTTTGCAAGCACCTAAAGTCTCAGAAGCAAGCGGAAAAGAGAGTGCACCCTTGCCCCTCTGACACGAAAAAGACTAAATATAGTTCATTCATTTATTCAATTTATATCCTGCCTTTTTCCTACAAAGTGCTCAAGGCAGCTTACATCATTCTCCTCCTCCATCTTATCCCCACAACAACAACCCTGTGAGGTAGGTTGGGCTGAGAGTCTGTGACTGGCCCAGAGTCACCCAGTTGGCTCCATGGCTGAGGGGGGACTAGAACCCAGATCGTCTGAGTCCCAGTCCCAACCACTACACTACACTGGCTCTTATACAGCACACTGGCTCTAGTTGAGGAACTTGCCACAAAAAGGTACAAATCTCACTATTCTCTTTTCTGCAAGCACAGACCACTTGCACATTTGGTTTGGTTCGACAGCTTGCCTTTGGAAATCAGTCAAATGAAACCAAAGGGTGGGGGGGCACTATTTGGAGCCCCTCTAGGTCAACGTTTAAGTTTGGTACTTGTGCATTTTTCCAGCAGGTATGTCCCTGGACATTGCCCAAATAAGGATGCCTATTTTCATATCTCTCTAAGTGTCCAGGTGGCACTCAAAAAGGAACAAAACAATGATAAAATGTACGCCAACATCAGTGCACATTAGGGGTCCAAAATATATATTTTAAAGGGTTTGCAGCTGTGAATAACCTCTCCATTGTGGTATGTGAACATTTGAAAGGGGCTCTCGGTGAGTGTCTAAATGAGGATCATGAAAGCTGGCTCTTAAGCCAGAGCTTGCAGTCTGGAGGGGGGAAAAGGCAAAGGGGCAGAAAAAGCCATGGTGAGCTATAAATGACTTGCAGTTGCAGAGTGGAGGACAGCAAGCCAGGGCTAGCCACCCCAAGAACTGCTTGGGCCCTTGCAAGTTGGCTGGCACGGGAGGGTAGGCTCAATAATGCAAGTCTTTTGCTGCGCTTGCCAAAAAGTGCGCTTGCTCACTCCCTTCACCCAGGAGGGGTGTAACAACCCCTATGACAGGTTGTCAGAATGTGCAGATCCCCCCTCCCCCCACCTGAGTCAAAGGCTCCATGAAAGCCTTGGCTTCTGCTTAATCAGATGGCAAATTTCACAGGTGCTACAGTCAGGGATGGCTTTTCGGCAGGCATTCCAGCAGCTGCCGTCTTTTGTCCATCTGGCACAGCATCACCTACCCCAATTGTTTGCCGCCACCCAGGAGCTCTGGCGGATATTATTTCTTACAATAATGATCTGTCCCATCACGTTTTGCCTGATCCACTTAACCAGGGGTGTTGGGGTTTGAACCGGGTACTTTCTGCATGCCAGCAGGTACTCTACAGTTCAGTAGCAGTCCCTTCTGCTACTGTTCACTAGGCTAAACAGATCCTCTCTGCCTGCTTCAGTTGACTGAGTCAGACACATTTCAACATTTTCTCTTTAGCCAGAAGAGTGAGCAACTTGCCTGTGTACAAATTAACTATTATGCATAATTGTATCCTACCTTTTAGTATAATTTACTCATAATGCATCTTCCAGTTGTTTTATTCTAAGTCTGAGTTTCTTAAGAGAAGCTCCTTAGTTTTGTTTGCCGGCCACAAGTTTCCCATTCCTGCATTGGAGAAGACTTGCTATGACTGTCTTTATTTCTTAAGCAGCTGCCTCCTGCAAGCATCCACCAAGTGCAGCCCTCCCACCCTGTTTGTGGCTCAAGGGAGATGGCCAGCTTGCACTTCTCTACTCAGCTGGTATCCCAGAGCGCATGCGGTATGAGAAGGGATTCAGCTGGGGCTTGTGAGAGCCTGCTCCTACTGGCTCCCAGATGAGTGGTGTGGGGGAATCCCCAGCTCATCTTTTATTTTTGTTAACAGAGAGATAACAAAGGGATCCTTCTTTGTGCCACTTGCCCTCTGATGCAAGCTTGGAAGCGCAAAGGGGAATCTTTCTGTTCTCAGAGATTGCATGAGGCCTCTTCTCCTCAGGGCATGGGATTTGTGGAGGATGCTCAGACCTCCATGGGCTGGATTTGGGTCACCCTCTCTTGCCAAGGTAACCAGGCAAAATGGCTTCGGGGCATTTTCTAACCTGCCGCTTCAAGAAACCCATCAGAATTCTGAGTGCGAATCAAAAATTCCTTCACCCAGTCTTCCCAGAGAGGAAGTTCATCCCTAGGCTCAAATATGGTGCTTTGCTTTGGAGTCTTCAGTGCCATCTTCTCACCTTAAGCTTCCGGTGTCTCCTCCCTGCCCCATTCTTCCAACTCTTCTCAGAATAACAGTTCAGATCAGCGAGTTTCTCTTGACATCGATCTGTGGGACAAGTTCAGTGAACTGTCTACAAAGTGCATCATCAAGACAGTAGAATTCGCTAAGCAGCTGCCGGGTTTCACCACGCTCACAATCGCTGACCAGATCACGCTTCTCAAAGCCGCCTGTCTAGACATCCTGGTGAGTTGGAATCCAGGCCAAAGTATGACAAATCAGACTGTCTTTGGAACCAGAGAACTACAGAGGCTGGAAGAGTGTTAGAATGCATGGTGCTTGCCCTCTGAGAAGTCAACGCGACCCACATTTGCACCCCCCGGTAACCCAAAGCACTCCTTTTGTAGCACTGCACAGGTAGAACATGGAAGGGAGTAGGAGCCAATGTGATGCTTGCCTCTTCCCTTCTAGATCCTGCGGATATGTACACGCTATACCCCGGATCAAGACACCATGACTTTCTCAGATGGCCTGACACTCAATCGCACGCAGATGCACAATGCAGGCTTTGGGCCCCTCACAGATCTAGTCTTTGCCTTTGCCAACCAGCTGCTGCCGCTTGAGATGGATGATGCTGAAACAGGACTCCTCAGCGCCATCTGTCTCATATGTGGAGGTGAGCTCCTAACAATACTCTTTAGTTATTTATACAGTTTTCTACATTTCTGTTTGCATGGGCCCTCAAGGAAACTGCCAGTTGTAAAAATTGGAAAAATAAATACATATAGATAGATAAACATATGTCGATTTTATAACTCCTACCCTCTGTGGCTGTATTCATAAAGATCTGCAGCAAAACCAAAATAAGCCCAGTTAAGAGGAAAAAACTGTCAGTAATAACAGCATCTTGACCTGGTATTTGAGAGCAGATAGGGAGGAACTGATGGTCTCTTCCATGTCAGACTTTATTATAGAAGCATAAACGTTATTCCTCAACAATGACCTGGTTTGCACATCATAGTAACAGATCATAGGTTATTTAACCCACAGTTTGTGGGAATGTGTGCAAGCCACTTCCACTTTCTGTAAAAAACAACCAACCAACCAACCCTCCAGTTGGTTCAGTTGGAGGCTGTGTGGTATGCAAACTTAACTGTTGAGGAGCTTGTGCGTAGGGGCTAAACAACCAGAGCGTCACTCATGTTTTGTTGTTCAGTTAACTGCTTAGCTGTGTGTCCTTTAATCAGTCCAGCAGCCTGGGGTCTCATGTCATGCTCACAACCTTCAATTGGGTCAATTGGAGATTGATTATGGAAAGCAGAAGAGCCTTATGCAGGGCATGTATTCCATGGGTTAAATAGATCACAGCTTCTTTAAATTGTTGGGGTTTTATTGCAAAGTTTCAACAAAACCGTTAAAAAACTTTATAAATTTGAGCATATTAATGTCATGTGAAAAGTGTGTGTATATGTGTGCATGTACACACACACGTACACTGAAAATGCAACTTTCTAAAAAATTATGCACAGATGTCAGCAAAGGCAGGTCAAATATCCGTTTACATATCCGTTCACAAGTGACTGGTTCAAATGTTGAAAGCACTTCAATGTATTGCATTATAGGAGGTGAACATGCATCTTTCCAGTGTTGCAATATCAGTCTTTTAGCTATCAAAAGAGTACAGAGAATCCTCCATTTATGTTGACTGCAAATTAAGTTCCCAGATCCAAAAGATCATATGGGTATCAGTGAATATTAAAGGATGTTCCAGTACAAGTTTATCCATATTATAATCTCCGCAGGGTCAATGTTGCAATTGCAAGTATTGCCATTCAGCTGTTGTAGGCAAATCCCATTCAGCATGCAAAACTTAGAATCCACCACTAGCACCCACTAACTGATCCAAGGCAAAATTGGTCAGCTGATCCAAATCTGCCAGACACTTTCTTAGCAATTTCTAAATTTGGATTTTCCCGTAAAGTCTATTCAGCATGGGAAAATGACTTGAAATGTAATCGACATAACTGTGGGAGGAATCACATCCATTTTAATGTATCAAGAACCTAATGCCATCCATTTACAGAGAGAATCCAGACAGGACAGTTCCAGAAGTGATCAAGGTGGAGAATCGAATCTAAGAGGAAAAGACCAAAATCTAGTACAGGTCAACAAACAGGCCCGATGATAGGAAGCAAGATCCAGAAAGCCAAACCCACCTTCTTTAATTGGAAGTTGCATCCTTTCAAGGACATTCATGGTGGGTCCAGGTTCTCGCATCATGCTCTAAACCTTTGACTGGGTAAATCAGATGCTGCTTATATAAAGTGAAAGTAGCGCATGCAGGGTGCGCATTCCAGCAAATCATGAATTAAGGAACCCACAATTTGCCTCTCTGACATATAAATTGCCCTATTGTTTAGTGGTTTGGTTTTTCTAAGTGCCCCATGAAATGAACTGAAACAGTTGAACCAGCATGTTTTGTTGTGGGTCAATGTTCCTTGAACTGTCACCACCTACATATTTTAAACCTTTTCTCTGCAAACTTATAAGTTAAAAACATTTTTGCTTGCTTGTTCCCTAGATCCACATATAATTCATTCAGTCTGCAACCTCCATCTTGCGAATGAGTTTAAACTGCAGGTTCCATGGCCATAACATCTGGCCTAACTGTTACGCTTTTCTGTCTCTTCCCCAGTCCCTTGCTTTTCATACTTGTTGTGAAGAATTCTAGAGCACTTGAAAAACTTGTGTACTCTCTTGTGGCAGTTTGGTTGATCCTGATGTCAGTAGTGCTCAGCTGCAGATTGTAGATTGTTGTTTTTCATATGGTCTGGCATTGCTATCTTTTTTTAATGCGTGTTCCTTGATGCTAGAGAAGAAAAGGATCAGGAATGCCTCTTTGAGTGTGCTGCATCCTTGTTCAACAGCACCACCAAGTGGCAGGACAGAAAGTTTGTGCGTTTCAAAGCTTTTAATTGGATGAGAGTCTGCAGGCTTGTGCAGACGGTGGGTGGCTGGGATCCGAAATAACTTCAAGTAGTACTATTTCCAACTAAATGTTCAGAAGAACATGGATCTCCAGATCAGTGAAAATATTTTCCCATCGTATACTAAGAATTTACTTTCACTTTATAGGAAAATGTGTGAAAAACATAGGGCCAATTGCCGCAGGTAGGTTTTAATAAGCATCCACTGCACACAGTATCTGTTTTTCTGTGTACAGAGAGTGTGTATATACAATGAAAAGCCCCTATAATTTTCCACTTCCCTAGGAGAAAACTTGGCAAAAATATACCTTTGGTGTGATTATGACATGAGGCCATTGCATGTGTGGTTTAAAAAAAAATTCCCATGCAAGTTGTTTTGGTGAAGTGGCCATAGGGTATGAAATAACCTGAACCCTATAGTAGGGCTGGATCAATCTGATTCTGAGCCAAGTCAGTTTCATAAGTTTGTTCATGATGTTTCTGCCTAAAACTTCAAGCATTGAAAAAGTACAAAAATCCTGATTTTTATGCACATATTTGGTAAAACGTTAATCTCTGAATGCACTTTATCATAAAATCCATGGTTTTTCATGTATTTTATTGTAAAATGTGCATTTTATGCATTTTGGTATGATGCTTTCGCTCTAAGAACTGTATCATAAAAAGCAGAGAAGAACAAAAGAAAAAAACCAGAGCAATTTGGTTCCCATCAGCATGTTAGTCTAGAGAGTGCAAATCGCTTTAAAATGTGGATTCAGAAAATCCTCAGAATGCCTAAAATAGGCAAACTCAGTTGTGCAACTAAAACTACAAAAAGCAGATGAAAAATACAGCCAAGCAGTCCTGAAAACCCAGAACTTTCCAGCAACAAAGATGTGCTTCACATTTGCATGAGTGTATCAACTGCATGGTTTCTTGTCCTTCCCTTTGCCCAAATTCTGACCACAGAGGTGTGGTCCTGGCCCCTTTGCTGCGGAACCGAAGTTTCTTTGTGGCTTGGCTTTCCCAGCAGGGGAAGCCCCTCCTGCAGCAAAGCTCATCCAGACACCCCCCAATTGCTCCTCCAGTTGGTTGAGATGGAGCCTAGTTTGATTGTGCTCTGTTTTTGCATGCCCAGCCTCTGACGGGGACAGGAGGTAGGGCACGGAGGAGAAGCACAGAGGATGCAGCCACTTTGTACACCCTGCATCCCTCCATCCTTACAAGGAGATGTGGGGACAGGAAAGCAGAGCACCTGAGTCCCCTTTGCTTCTATGACCAGGCGCTCTGCATTCTCGCCTTGCACCTATGAACATAAACTTGGAAGGCAGTGCAGTATAAATCAAGCGTAAAGTATTATAGTGCAACACCAGCATTATAGTGCAACACCCTAGTACCACTGGCATCGTACTAGAGTTACACTTGTACACTTGTAATTTACATTAGTGCTCACACCCCACTGGATACAGTCCACAGTAGTTCTGACTGACAGTCTCGTAGCATGTAGGATCACAGCCTTTTCACAGCAAGGAGGTCGAAAAACCTGCAACCATTCAATTTCTGCTAGTTCTACATCTGTTTAAAACCACTGTACATCTTTCTGATGTTCTGCAAAGTGGGATGGGACATGTTGAGTAGTCCCCCATAGAGTCTTGGAAGTGACAGTGGAGGGCACATATCTATTTGCTTTGATCATCTATACCTCACACTGTCTCAGAAGAGACACTCAAGGCAGTTCACAGCATTCACCAAATTCAAAGGAGTCCCCTTGATGCAAGCCCTGTTTGAAAGTTATACCCAGGATCCAGAGGCTTCCCTGCTCTATAGGTCTCCCTGTCCTAAGGCTAGCAGAATACATTCAATAAAAATTGCAAAATGTTTCTGTGGATGGCTATAGTGTACAGTGCGTGGATAGATTTTCATGTTAATCCACATAGAAGTTTTTGTTACTGGACACAGTAAAATTGGAATGAAGAAATGTGCTAATAAGCACAGCATTTGTACTGTTTTGCCTTTAAGCCACTTTGTGCTTTTCTGATTGCCCACCTTCTCTCCAGATCGACAGGACCTGGAACAGCCAGACCGAGTGGATAAGTTGCAGGAGCCGCTCCTGGAGGCCCTGAAAGTCTATGTAAGGAAGAGGCGGCCTAGCAAACCCCATATGTTCCCTAAAATGCTGATGAAGATCACAGACCTGCGAAGCATCAGCGCAAAGGGTAAGGGCTGAGCCTCTGCTCTGGATTCTGTAGAGTCTCTTCTAGTCCCTTTAAACTGGTCTGTAACCCTAACCCTACCCCTAAGATCTGGGAAAGACACAGAGGAACTAAAGCTTATACCTCACATGTCACCATTTTGAGGCATAGACATAAAGATGCAACATTGTAAATGCAAATAACAGGCATTTGAAAATATGTTATCACACAGGGACCCTTGCCGGAGATTTTTAGGGTTCCCCAGTGAGCTTATATTGGAAGGCAAAAAGGCTACCCCGAAGGAAACTCTGCTGGGAGGGTAGCAGACAGCTTGCCTGAGGCTCGGCAGGGTGGTGCTCGGGTTCCATGTTGTGTAAGTTACCTGTCTTCCCTTCTGCAGGTGCTGAAAGAGTGATCACCTTGAAAATGGAGATCCCCGGGTCGATGCCACCCCTTATCCAAGAGATGCTGGAGAACTCTGAAGGCATGGACACCTTGGGGGCCCCCACGGGAGCCCCGCCCCGCATAGGCAGCCTAGCCCCTCCTCCAGGCAGCTGCAGCCCCAGCCTCTCCCCCAGCTCCAACAGAAGCAGTCCTGCCACGCATTCGCCGTGACCACGCTGGCCACTGGGACAAGCGGCCGGATCCCCCCACACACTTTGGTCTCTGCACCCTGGGTATGCCTGGACAAACATCGGAGGAGCAGGGTGGGGTCAAGGGAAGCCCTGGGACAGAACGATGCTGCAAGCCGTCTTCTCCCCCACCATGCTCCACCCCGGGAGTCGTGCTTGGGCTCCAGAGAGTGGCCTCCATGTACTGCCTGTACCAGCACACTGTCTTTCATTCAGCAGTTCCAGCAAAACAGCGCCCTGCTTGCTGTGCAGGCCTCTTTTCCCACTGGGGAGCCACAGTTCATATACAGGAAGTTTTGAACTCGCAGTAGACAGATCAACAAGCAGATCTGAAGGACAGAAGCTCAAAACTAGGAGCAAGACTTTACAGATATATATATCTGTATACAGATATATATATATATATATTAAAACACAACCGATTACAAAAAAAGATCACCGTCTGTGCAGCACGCACCCCTGCTCTTCCCTTCATCCTGTCCTGCACACGTACACACTTCCACGAAGGGTTTGCCTGCTTCTTGTTGCAGTGAAAATGAAGTGGTGTTTTTTTTTTTTTCTCGGTTGAGTTTGCATTTCAAATGTTTCAGGGGAAAGGGTGTAATGTTTTCAGGGTTTTTTTTAATTGCTCAACCCCCTCTTTTTGTCCTCGATTTGACCACCCAAAGTTACCTTTCTCTCCTTCCCTGGCTCCCCTCCCCACTCTTTGTCCACTCACACATGCCTAAAAATGTCACCAGCAAATAATAAAGTAAAATTAGTTCTTCAGGTAAAAAAGAAAAAAAGTACACATAGAACAAGGAGGGAAGGATTCATTTAAGAAAGAAATATATATAAATATATATATATATAAATATATAAAATACATTTTAAAAGAAAACTTTGTAAAAGTTTGGAATTTGGAGGGTTTCTAGAAAGAGGTTGGCAAGAAGAAAACCAGAAAAAAAAAAACCAACATGATTCTTGTATGGGGTTGGTCACAATTTTCTTTTAAATGCAACATTTAGCTAGAGTTAAGCCCTTTTAATTCAGTGGCTGAGTTAGTACAAAATACTACAGCAGAATTGCTGAGAATTTGGGCATGCCAGTAATGCTAATGCATGATTGCCAATCACTCCTGTTTGACTTTTCCAAGAAGCCCGAGCATCCAAACATTAGACTCACAAGTAACCAGAAACTTACTGTGCACGAACGCTTAGCGCTCCATCTGGTCGTGGACTTCTGGGTTCTCTCACTCCTAACAATGCGTAGTTTAGAGAGAAGGCTTGAAGCTGGTTCATGGGTCCAGGCTTGGTAGTAGACGGGACTGGCATAAGCGGTCTTCCCACCTGGCATGCCCACATCTCCCCATCTCCATGGCATTGCTGCCAGGCATATGGGATCTCATCATTCTGGGCCAGCTTTTGTGGGAATTGTGCAGCTCTCACCGCTGGTGGCTGCTCTCCTGCTGCACCGAGAGAACAGCTGGCGGGGCCTCTCTGGACTGTCTGCGAAAGGCTGCAGTTGCAGGCCGTCCTGGCTGGGACAGGTGTGGGTGGCCCAATTTGCTAGTTCCCTGGGTCTGTGGCCTTTTGCAAGTTCAGCAGCCACGCACTGGTAGGCACCCTCTCTTCGGATGAAATGCTAAGCTGTTCTTTCCTGGTAAGTTTCTGGTTGTCGCAGCCGGCCCGTTGACATGTGGAGCCAAGTGGGAAGTGATTGGGGAGTGCACGCTCGGCATCCCAGCTATGTCAGAATTCTCAGACATTCTGGCTTAGCATTTTGCACAGATGAGTCAGTGAGAATTAAAGATGCTTTATGCTGGCTGGATTTGTGTCCTTGGGTTTTTGGTTGCTTTTATTGACAAGAGACCTTGTTGGATCAGTGTTGGATACAGAGCTAAAATTTTCCCTCCCTGCCTGTTTTTGTTTTGTTTTTTCTTTTGAATGGATGAAACTTTGGGAAATAAGATGGATTTGCTGGGAGAAAAGTGTTCTCTGAGCAAAAAGCTTTCAAATTTTAGCAGGGTGTGTGTCAAAAAGCAACTGCGCTGGTCCATGCTTTCACCAACAAAACACCCTCTCCTAAATCTTGGTTCTCATTTTGAAATGCGTTGAAAGACGTGACACTTGGTTTTGTAATTCAGAGAAAAGTCCCCCTCCCCGCACAGTTTTGGTCTTTTTCACATTACTGTTTTCCAGACATGATCTGAGCTCTTTTTTCCTGAAGGAAGGATGCTTTCCAGAAAGAGCACATCTGAGAACCATTCAACTTAGTACAATTTCCTTTTAAGAAAACAGGATTGAGATTGTGCCATTAGGCTGTATTCTTGGAGCTTCTTGCCAGGGAGCCTCCAACATTGGCTCACTTCCAAACTGAGAATTGTTATCTAATAGTGCAACGCTACACATGCCTACTCAAAAGTCAGTTAATGGGGCTGGCTCCCAGATAAGCAAGTATATGATTGCTACTTTCGGCCCTCTTGAGCTCTTAGAACTAAATGGTTCCAAGGTCTTTGGGTCCTGGCCAATATTTTCAAAATAACTGCAAATAATATTTCTGATATATCTGTAGTTTTCCTTTAAAAAAAAAAAAAAAAAGCTATCCACCACACTTAGAAGAAAGAAATGTGACCAGCTCCTGGACTTGGGGTGGGGGTTGGGGAATATCTTGAGGGAGGGGGCTTCCACACAATTTATTATTGATTCTATTTTTCTCTTGAAATTTTAGTGTCTTAGAGTCTTCAACATGAAACTTAAACAAAATTGCAAGGGGGGGGGGGGGTTGGAAGCCAGAACCCCCCCCCCCCCGGATGCGTCTCCCTCCATTTGAAGGGCATGTGTTCCACACTTCTCAGATATGTATATAAAGCTGTTGTTATTTCATATAAAAAGATACTGGTGAGTTTAAATCCTCCCATAATTGCTGCCTTGGGTGGGTAGATAGAGGTTTGTTGTGGGTTGCAAACATAAAAACAGTTGCTATGCTGCGGTGGTGGTCAGCAAGTGGAACGCTTCGAAAAGGGATGAGACAAATTCGTGGAAAAATGTGTCAGACTGGAGCCAGCTGTAGTAATTCAGTGAAACCTCCATGTATAGAGACAGGCTATCTTTATCCTTAAAGCAAGCAATCAACCTGCTTGTGAACTGATGGGGGTGTCTGGCTGTGTGCTGCAAAAACAAAACTTGGGGCCAGGTGCATCTTGTTGCAAGGCCATCTGCAGGTGTGTCATGTGCAGTCATCACTGTGTCATGTCGCACACAGGTCTTAGGAACCAAAAGTCGTGCACCAGCCTGGTAAGACTATACTGGAATCCTGCGTTCTTGGCCCCACAGTTGACACACACGAAAGGAGAGAGGATGCCATGCCGACTCCATGTGCTTAGGCCTACAGGAGAAGGATTGCTCAACAAGCAAAGCTTGGAAGCAATGCAGATCCCTCTGTTTCAGGAAAATGGCCCATGGAAACGGCCCTCTGCATGCAGCTGCTGACACGAGGATCCCTTCACCCCCCCCCCCCACGTCTCCTGTGTAGTCTTGCAGGAGACCGAGTTAGTGGAGAGCTTGAGGCCGCTGTCCTGTAGCCGCTTCCCTGGAGATGCCTGCAGTGTGATTACTGGAGATTCATGAGAAGTGAATGCAAAGTGATGAATTTTGGGGAAGGCACAAATATTTGGGTTTGCAAGTTAAGGCTCAACTGGCTACAACTTCCACAGAAAAGGGGGTTGACGGGAAAACACCTCACTTACTGCCTGATTGTACACTTTGGACAAGTGAAAAGGGCAAATTTAGCACTCAGAATGGGACTGAATATAGCCAGTACAATTTTTCATTTAGAAAAGTTTTAAAAGTTGCACATTTTAAACTGATGGTATTTCCCATCGACCCATGAAAACCCAGTGCAATCCAATGAAACTGAGTGGCAGAGCAAACACAATTTTTTCCCATGGAATTGGTATGTGGACAATATATAGTAATAGTTTAGATGACTAGGTCTGCTGATGACCTTAGCCATAACAGTGAAAGATGGAGCCTCCACATTTACAGGTTGTCTATCTGATTACCAAGTGCTAGCTCCCATAGCTTTTGCTTGGCCACAATTGAGAAGCAGAAAACTGGCCTAGAAGAACTTTGTTAATGGCTAAGCAAGGCCATTCTTAAAAGAGACTGCTTGATGGTGGGTTCTGTGGCACTCCAAGGTTTGCACAACCCCCTAGATGGTTCTATCCTTTCGGGTGAGTGTGACAGATGAAGCTGGAATTCTTCCTTGAGACAAGGGGCTGAGGAACAAATCTTCTGAAGGAGGTAAGCATGTTTAGCCTAGAGGAAAGATGCCCAAGGGAGAGAGGAGATGCTGACATTTTTCAAATATTTAAAAAGCTCTCCCAAGGGGGGTTGAGGGGGAGAACACTTCATGCTTTCATTGTAGGACAAAACACAATTGGGTTAAACTACAGAGAAGTAGGTGGCCTTGTGTTTTCACCTCGAGAGATGCCTTTATAGGAATCTGTAAAGGCAAATAAGGTTATGTGGCCATTTTATTGTGCCATGTTTTCTTGGGAACTGCATAGCAGAAGTTCAGAGCAGACAAGATGCCCCAGTATGAAAGTTACGTGATGGGGAAAGCTTAATGTAGCTGCTGATGGCACAGCAACATTTGCCAGAAAAAAGGGGGAACGCTAGCAAGCAGGAAAAAACAGGACTTCACTATTTTGTGTACTCATCACATGCACTTTACATGCAGGATAGAAGTTCCTCTTTTGGCCTTGCAGGAGCATCCATGTTTCAGAAATGATGGTGTGGAATTCAGTTCTCTGCTATATTTTCAGATGATTCTGTCTCTATCAGTGTCATTCTTGAGACATTTTTGTTGCCTGAGGCAGAAAATCCACTTGATGCGTGCATGGATGGGTGCACACATGTGTTAACATATGGCACAATTCAGACCCATTTCTGTAGTTCTTATCACGGCAAAGCAGCTTGGACAGGGAGAATTGTGGCTTGTGGGTCAGATTCTCTTTGCCGCCTCTTAATGGCACGCTTCTGTTTGGCCACCTCTGCTCTCCAGCAAGTCCAGAATGGGACAGTGGCCACCAGAGGAAGAGACCAAAGGGGGTTTTCATTAGGTACCAGCAGGCAGTAGCAGGTAGAGGGACACCCTTCTGGTTGAGAGAAGTCCCACTTGCCACTCATGAAAACAACACCCCTTGTCACAAAATACTTCAGAAGTGCCAAATTGTAATTCTCAGTAAGAACATAGGCTCCTATAACTTAAGGTAACAAAGATAAGTCAATCCCTAGGTCCTATTACTATTTGATTGCATTTCTACACCACCTATAGCCCAAGCACTTTGGGCAGTTCCCATTAAAAGTCACCCGTCCAGATTTCAGCCAGGCCTGACCCTGCTCAGCTTCCAAGATTAGACAGGATCAGGCACTTCTGGCTATAAGATGGACATGGGAAGCATTGTTGCTAAGCCTTGGGAAGGGATAGGGCAACAAGAACAGCCCAGAAACCATCGTTGGCTTGCTTTCCTTCTTGGGGCCATCCTTGAGCTGAAGCTCTTCTCTGTGGCTTGTAACATACGCTTCAGATGGGCTCTGGAGGAGGCAATGTGATAAATGCACATTTTGAGTTTCTGCTGCAAGGACCCACAGTTTCCCACATTTGGGGCTACGGACAGTGCCCCCAGAGGGCAAGCTGAGCACACTTTACTATTTTTAGTAGAGAAATCAGCTTGCGCTCCCACCGCTAGCCTTTCTCATTTGCAAAGCCTTGCTGTCTTCACAGAGCCCTGGCCTGGGGAGAGGCAGAAGAGGGCATGTGTTGCAAACCGTCTTGGGCTTCAGTTTCCCCTCCCACGAACCACTGCTGTGTGAAAGCAGCCCCTGTGTTGATGATGCACAACAAGACATTTGGCCTTTAGATTTCAGGAATGGTCAATCCTGATCCTGCTGCCTTGTGCAAGCAGAAGGCAAAGAAGCAAAGGAAGCAGCATGAGGAACACTAGTTTACGAAGAAACAGCTGGAAAAGGAGCTGAGGAGGAGAGCCAGAGCCCTCCATGGGAATCCTAGTCAGCTGTGGCTACCAGGCAACAGGGACAGTTCTGGCTCTCTTGTTTGATGTTGCCATTTTTCGGGGGCCTCTGTGGTGTTTTTCAGCCATTTCTGTGCTTTTTAAAGAACAAGGGCAATGCAGTGTTTTCCTGGATGATGCCACATGTAAAGTCTAAATTCTGCTCTGTACTACAGTGCTACCTTGTGTTGTGTAATAAAACACAGAAAGAGGCAGAGAGAAAAACCCCTGGGGGCAAAAACCTTTCATGTAAAAGGACATTCTTCTCCCACAAAGGCATGGAAGTAGCAACCCTGATAAAACACCAGGTTAAATGCTTTACATAAGAAGCCCTTAATGTTTGTGGTTATGCAAGTTATTCTTTTCTGTTGATTGTGTTTTGATGGGGGGGGGGTACTGAAGAATATCTTCTTAATTACCTCCCTACCAGTTTGCCTACACTTGGGCCAGGGTCAGTTATTATGTATTCAAACAGCACTTTTTCACTGTAAAAATGAAACCAAATGCAAAGAAATTAATAATGAAGCCCCACCACCTCCCTGATGATGCTAAAGTGCTCAGGACAGAAAAGCCTAGTGGTTTGTCCTCTAGCAAAGTAACATGGGCACGATCTTCTGAGATGTTCTCCTGAGCTGGCTCTCCGAGACGGACAGTGCTATCAAGCAGGCTTTTACGCAACACCACTTCACTTCAATGGGATTTGTGGGGAAAAATTTCTATCCCAGATAGTGTCAGAAATCCACTGCCTGAAGTAGCTGCCTCTTTTGCTCCAGCACAAAGACACTTCTGAATGCGTGCACTTTCTACCATATTTCTACCACCTTCCAAACTATTTCCTTTCCTG